CCACCATCACCATCACCATCATCATCACCACCACCATCACCACCACCATCATCACCACCATCACCACCATTACCACCAGCATCATCACCACCACCATCACCACCATCATCACCACCACCATCATCACCACCATCACCACCATCACCACCACCACCATCACCACCATCACCACTATCGCCACCATCACCACCACCACCATCACCACCACCCAGGAACAGCAGAGAATGGGCTGTTTGAATAGAGTCAACTTGCCTGGCCACACTGGTTCCCTTTTCCCAGGGCACCACCTCTCTGCAGCTCTCACGGATGGGGTGCCAGTGTGGGTGAACTCACATCACCACCAAAACAGGGAACCAGGACCATGTTACCTGGACCAAGCCCAGAGAGTTCAATGGCATCGATTGATAAGGCATCTGTGGGGTGAAATTCTCTAGTCTACACCACTGACTGCCAATTGTGATGCCACCTTTCAGGGTGGAATGGTACCCATGGAGGGTGGAGAGGGCTGGGAGGAAGGCTGGGGGAGGTTGGGGTCAGGTGTTTGTTTTGGGACCACACCATCAGGCCAGTGTCTAAATTCTCAGTGATGAGTTACAGCATCTCCTCCTGACCTGGGCCATGTGAGCTTCCTCGGGCTGCTTTTCTTAACTTCCCTCCTCCTTCCCCCAGCACCGGCCTCATCGGTTTCCTCTTCATGCTGAGGGCCCTGGTGGCTGCCAACTTCTGCACCATCTACATTTACACAGCTGAGGTCAGTTTCTCGGAAGCAGTTTGCTCCAACAGGGCAGGCAAAGTGGGCAACTTAGAGAGGGTGGCCATCCATAGATTATGGGTTTCCCGAGTCTTAAACATCACAGTGAGTGACTTAGAGCAGGTGGCCCCCAGTAGGTTATAGGTCCCCGTGTCTTAAACACCACAATGGACTTAGAGAGGTGTCCACCCATCGGTTATAGGTCTTAAACTCCTCAGTGGATAGCTAAATATTAGAGAGGGTATCCATCCATTGGGGATAGATTTTCCCATATCTTAAACACCACAGTGGGTAACTTTAACAAACAAAAGTTTATTTTCTAGCAGTTTGTTGTTGTTGTTAAGTACTGTGGAGTCGGTTCCGACTCATAGCGACCCTGCACCAGGTTTCCAAAGCTGTAAATCTTTGCGGGAGCAGAAAGCCTCATCTTTCTCCCATGGAACAGCTGATAGTTTCGAACTGCCGACCTTGAGGTTAGCAGCCCAATTCGTAACCACTACGCTACCTTAGCTCCTTTAGGCAACAAAAAATGACAACTCTAGAGAAAGATTTTCTTGCTGTTGTCTCTGGAGGAAGGTCCTTGTGTCTGTGAGCTTCCTGCTCCTTGATGATCCTCTTGGGACTTGGCATTTCCAACCCCCCACCCCCATATCTTCTCCTCCTGGCCTGTTTGATCTTTTACAGCTAACAAGAGATTGACTCAGGAGACATGCTACATGATCTTGCCTCATTGACATATCAAAGACACCCCATTCCCAAATGGGTTTATTACCACAGCCATGTTGTTGTTGGGTGCCCCCCAGTTACTTCCTATTGCTAGTGACCCCACACCCAACAGAACAAAGCACTGCCTGGTCCTAAACCGCCCACAATGATTGCTATGTTTGAGCGCATTGTAACCCTTGTGTGAGTCTCAGCGAGGATCTTCCTCTTTTCGCTGACCGTATGCTTTACCAAGCATGATGTCCTTCTCCAGGGTCTGGTCCCTCCTGATCACATGTTTAAAGTGTGTGAGACAAAGTCTCATCATCCTGGCTTCTAAGGAGCATTTTGGCTGTGCTTCTTCCAAAAGAAATTTGTTCCTTCTTCTGGTAGGCCACAGTACATTCAGTGTTCTTCATCAAGTCTTCTCTGGTCTTCCTTGCTCATTGTCCACCTTTCATATGCATATGAGGTGACTGAAAATGGTAGCATAGTGGTTACGAATCGGGCTGTGAACCGCAACGTCAGCAGTTCGAAACTACCAGTGGTTCTGAGGGAGAAAGATGAGGCGTTCTGCTCCCGTAAAGATTTACAGCCTCGGAAACCCTGTGCAGGGTCGTTATGAGTCGGAACCGACTCCACGGCACTTAACAACAACAACAATAGTCTCGGAACCTACTTCATGGCACACAACAACAACTACTGCTTGGTTCTGGAGTTCTGGTGTGCCACTGTGGGTTAATGTGTTAGACTGCAAAGTCGGTTTGAACTTCAAGGTTAGTGGCTCAAGCTCACCAGTCGCTCCTTGGAAACCCTCTACAGGGTTGCTCTGGGTTGGAACTGACTTGATGGCTCTTAAACAACAACAACAACAACTGCTTGGTTTTAAGATGACGTCAGGGAATATTTTGGTTTCTGATGCCATTTAAAATTATTTTTCTTGTGATAAAAGATATATAACATAAAATAAGCCATTTTGCCAATTTTAAGTGGGTAAACTCATTGGCATAAATTATATTCATCATGTTGGCCAATGATCACCGCTACCTATTTTTAAACATTTTCACCAACCTGAGCAGCCACGCAGCTCCTGTGAGGCAATCATGTACAGATTCATGTGTTTTTACTAAATATGTAAAAATGTCATGGCAAGAAAGTAGGTGCCAAGAGATTGTGCAAGAACCAGAGTCAGGTGAACCGGAAAGGAAGGTGGCGAGCAGCATAGAATTGTGGTCATTCTGGCACTGTAGCCAATTCCTTTTGCTATGTCTATGTTGGCCGTTTTGTGGGATTGTTATTATTGGGGGCGGATCCTTCACGTAACTCCTTTACGTGTAGAGCTCTAACGTGCAAATCTTCCATCTGATTCAAGAGCACATCTTTCTGTCCAAAGCGTGAAGGGGAGCCACAGAAAGAAGAGACCCCAGGAAAGAAAAGGCACAAACTCACCACTGGTGTCCCCCTCTGTTTCTACCCTTCTAGGTCTACCCCACCACCATGCGTGCCTTGGGAATGGGGACCAGTGGCTCCCTGTGCCGCATCGGTGCCATGGTGGCCCCATTTATATCTCAGGTACAGTGCAGCGTGCCAGGGAACAAGACGAAGGGAGGCGGGAACACAGGAGTTCTGGGACTTTGCAGGAAAGGACGCTGAGAGACGCAAGCAGTTTGCACTGAACTGATGTGGTGCTGTAGAGAAACACTGCACTGCTAATTGCAAGGTTGGTGGTTCAAACCCACCAACCACTCCTCGGAAACCATCACAGGGTCGCTATGAGTTGGAACTGACTCCGCAGCACTTAACAGCAACATGACAATTAACCTCAAGGTTGGCAGTTTGAACCCATCCATTGGTGAGGCAGAAGAAAGGCCTGGTGATCTACTTCTGTAAAGATTGCAGCCTAGAAAACGCTGTGGAACAGTCGGTTCTGTGTCACAAGTGGTTGCCATGAGTCACATGATACATTTTTAACCTTTTTTTTTTTTTTTTCTGGGGCTAGTCTCTGCAGGTTCAGGCTATAGATACCCAAGGAATTCTGTTGACTTAATGAGTTTGTTTCCTTCCTTCCTTTTCATTGTGATTTGGGTGAAAGTTTTCAGAGCACATTGTCTTTCCTTCCAACAGCTCTCACACACCTTCATTTTGTGTCATTGACTGCACTCCCCATGACTTTCCCACTTGCTCACCTGTTTGCTGTTTCCCTTCGTCCTTCCCGCCTCCCGTCCTGCCTTCTGAGCTGTCTCCCTGGGAAGATGCTGCCCTGTAGAGCTCAGAGGGTTGATTGATCCAGGAGTATGAGTGTCCCTGGTGTCCTCGTTCACTGGCCTGTCTATGGCTTTGCTGAAAGTCAAACCACGGGATTAATGAGTTTCTTTCCTTTTTAACATTTTATTAGGGTTTGAGTGGAGTTGGGCCCTGGAGGGCGGTTCAGGAACCCAGTCCCATCCTCTGGGTCTTCCCAGGGTTGGGGCCACGCCCCTCTCCCTGAAGGCGCAGTCCTGCTGATCAGTATGAGAGACAGCCCCACTCCCCCAGGCCCAGCCCCCAGCAGGCACTGAGCAGTTCTCTTGGAATCCCCAAAAAAGGACCCGATTGACCTGGAGCTGGCCACTATGCACGTCAGAGCTCCATCAGATGTGGCCAGCAGTCAGGCTTGTGTACATATGTGGCCATGTGCACATAGGGGGGGGCATGTGCACACACATGTGTCCATGAGACTTGTATGCCTGTGCGCGTGTACATGTGTGGGGGTGTGCACACACAAATGTGTGCCCACAACTGTCTGTGTGTGCATACATGTGTGTGAACATGTGCCCACACATATGTGTCCATGAGACATGTGGCTGGCTGTGTGTGCGTACATGTGGGGGCATGTACATACAAATGTGTGTCCATGACTGTTCGTCTGTGTATGAATGTGTGTGAACATGTGCACACATGTGCATCCACGAGTCTGTGTGTGCACTGTGCTTCTGTGTGTATGCGTCCATGGGTTTATGTATGTACATGCATGTGCACACCCCCACTCATGTATATGCCAATGCATATGGGCATGTGTATGCCTGATTATGAGTGTACACACATGTGCACACATGTGTGTCATGAATCTGTGTGCGCACACATGCCGGTGTATGGTGTGCACACACATGTACGTGTCTTCACAAGTCTCTCTGTGTGTGTGTGCATGTGTGAGATTCTGAACTGTGTAGCTGATAGGGGAGAATCCTTACCTCCCACACACAAGACTCAGGTTCAGTGTCCAACTCACACAACCCATGCACCGTGGACACTTGTGGGTTGCTCGAATGCTCACTAGCTTTCAGTGTAGTTTCCGGACTAAGACAGACTAGGAAGAAAGACATGGAGATCTGCTTCTGAAAATCAGCCAGTAGAAACCACACTGCGATCTCCTGGTCCGATCTTGCCTGCTGTGCAGGACTGTGCAGTTTCACTGTGCACTGAGCGTCTCCGCCAATCTGGCCCACTCGATTGACAACTAATAGCAATCATTTGACATTGCCAAGAGAAGTGAGGTTTGGGAAATTCTGGGGAACCCTTTCTGTTCTGTATGAAGCTATAGGAAAAGATGCTAAGGCAGGCTGCATAGCAAACTGTTCCACACAGGAAAAAAGAAACCACCCGAGAAGTGGATGAGACACGGAGATGTGGGTTTGGTTTAGGTTGGGTGGGCTTGAGTTTGCTTCCACAAGGACCTGGTCTGTTTCTGGCCTCACTGTTGATCTGTCCAGGCCTGTCATTGTCCACTCTTCTCACTGTTCTAATGAGATTTGCGCCCCATTTTCCAAGCCCCATTCTCTAAGCCCAGCTCCTTGCTTTGCTTTCTCAGATACACTCAGATTCGTGTTAGAATCATTTTGTTGTGATGTGGCTTTCTTACCTACCCAAACCCTAGTAAAGTTTTCATTGTTAACTCCTTAAGTGTGTACATTAATTCTGGGAAAACTTGTGTGTTTTTTACACTATTGTCTTCCTATCTGAGAAAAGTTTTGTCTTTTCATTTCCTCAAGTTTTCTTGAGATTTCATTGTTTTCAAGGAGGTTCTGCCTGTCTTGTTAAGTTTACTCCTAGGCCTTCTATGACTTTGCTTGTTACTGCAAAGAGATTTGCTTCCTGTGATACCTGTTCTAGCTAGTTACCAACTCCTTTCTAGATTGTTTGTTGATTTTGAACCAGTCAGTTTACAGAACTCATTTCTAATGGTGTTTTCCCCCTGGATTCTCTTGAGTTTTCCAGGTTTCCACATTCACTCCTCACTTGTGCTTTGATGTTAAATTGATATGTGAACTTATCTGGACCATTCTTATTGTAATGATATCATTGTAATGATATAATTTGGTAGCTACGTAATGATGTAAGTTGGTGTGTGATGGTGTGATTTGGCAGTTACGTAACGATGTAAGTTGGTGTGTGATGGTGTGATTTGGCAGTTACATAACGATGTAGGTTGGTGTGTGATGGTGTGATTTGGCAGTTACATAATGATGTAGGTTGATGTGTGATGGTGTGAAATGGCAGTTACGTAATGATGTAAGTTGGTGTGCGATGGTGTGACTTGACAGTTACGTAATGATGTAAGTTGGTGTGTGATGGTGTGATTTGGCAGTCACGTAATGACGTAGTCATCCTCCATTTTGTTATAGGTCACCCTCGTTTTCTCATAATGCTGATTTTCGAATAGTGACCTGATCTTTGGAATCTAACACTTAACAGCAACAACATCCCTCTCTGTCCCTGTCCTGGATGGCTTTTTTGGAAGTACAGTTTAATAGATGCTTTCTTTTTCATATGAAGAATTTGGAGTGGGGCCTGAGAATTTGCGTTTTTAAAATACACAGAGGATTATTATCATTGGTCTCACTCAGGGTTCTTGTTTGTAAATGGTAGAAAGTGATTTGGGTAACTTAGGTGGAAAAGGAATGGCTTGACTCTCCCGTGACCACTCTCTCCTGGCTGGTCCTGGTAGACTGTGGAGCCCTGTCTCCTCCTGGGGAATCCAACAACACTAAACAGTATCTCCCCAGACCCAACTGGTGAAGCACACTTAGAGGCAACTACACTCAGCCCACCAGGGCCGTACACTACCCAGGACTTTGAACCTGGAACAAAGGCTGGGACACAGGGAGCGTCCGGGATTCGTTCCGGTGGTGGCCTGAGCATTGCTGGCAGTAATTAGTTCAGTCCCATGTCCACGCACACTTAGGTTGCAGCTCCGACTGCCTACATTCTCGTGCTTTCTTCCCCTTCTCTCTGGATCTGGCTCTCCAACCTTCTGTGAGCAAATATATACGAGTATGTGCTGGTTACACAAACTCCCGTTTGGAGGACTTTTGTCATTTCTTTTGGGAAACAAGATGAGAGAATAGTACCTATCGCTTGGTAACTCTGCTGTAAAACTGTTACTGAGGTTGACGTCATGGGAGCCGTTGGCTGAATTGGAAGGTTAGTCACGTGAGCTGGGCTCCCAAGGAGCTGACTCTTAGGGCACCCAAGTGGTACTGAAAGTCCTGCACCCTATGTCAAGGACTTGGTGTGACTCAGACAAGCTGTCCCTTAGACCCTGCTCTGGGCTCACCTGCAGAGCAAGGAGGTTGGACTAGATGGATGATTTGGAAGGTCACTCTCTGTGATGAGAAAGTTCTGCTGTTCCTTAGTCAACGTCCTCGTGCAATGAGGGACATGACCCGGTGTTTGCTCATCCACTTTGGGTGCTTGCAGGGGAAGATGAGAACGTGTGTCCAGGTAGGGTGAGAGGGTCCATGCTAAGGGACATCTGTAGACTGGCAGAAACCCATTTGCACTGTGGACATGCAGCAGGATGTTTGCTTGGTTGTTACACATGAACAGTTGTTCGTCTTTGAGGGGACTTTGAGATGACAACTCTTCCCAAGTCACTCCTGGTTCACCTTCACTGGATTGAGGGGGAGCAGGGGCATTTGAAGGGTATAGCCATGACGTGAGAGCTAGAGGGGAAGTAAGCTTAATTGGCATGAAAGGCGTGTAGCAGGACGTCCCATTGCAGATGCTGGATGGGCGGGTATGAAAGAAGAGGCATAAGGTGACCTAAGCTGCACTCATGGTTGTTGTTAAGTGCCATCGAGTCAATTCCGACTCATAGCAACCCTCTATAGGGTTTCCGAGGAGCAGCTGGTGGGCTTGAACTGCTGACCTTGTGGTTTCCAGCCCAGTGCTGATCCTAATGTTCACTCTAGCCCATATTAGTCACATGCTTGAGACAAGAGATGGTGATGTGTTGGCTGCACAGGACCCTCGTGGATGTATCTGGGGAGGGGAGCCCTTGTTCTCCCCTTGGTTCCATTAGCAGTGACTTGAAGCATCCCCTGTGACTTGCAGGTCCTCATGAGCGCCTCGATCCTGGGAGCCCTGTGTCTGTTCTCGTCCGTCTGCGTGGTCTGCGCCATTTCTGCATTTACCCTCCCTATTGAAACCAAAGGACGGGCCCTGCAGGTAAGTTACTGGAGGGCCGGTCACTCCCAAGCACACTTCTGACCAAAAGACGTGGAGTTCTTTGCAGCAGACTGTGAACAGCTCTCCTTGTGGGGTCCCACTTCCTCCTGCAGTGTTAATGAAGTTGCCCAAGCTCTGCTGGCTCTAATTGTCTGTTGAATAACAGGGATGAGGCTAGATGGGCGAGAAAAGTAGGGCACAGCATTCTCCCTTCCACAGTGTGTCTGCAGGGAGTGTCACTGAAGAGCTGACAGTGGCTTGGGACCAAAAGATGACACAGTCTCCTCATGTTGCATCTCCTTTCCCCTGACAACACCCGTTGCCAGAGAGAGGACGCTGTTGGGTGTTGTTGATTCTGACTCATAGTGACCCCGTGTGGCAGAACGGAACTGCTCCCGAGGGGCTTCAAAGCTGGACCTCTTGGCAGTAGATCTCCCATGGAACCCCTAAGTGGGTTACAACTGACACTGTTTCTGTTGGCAGCTGACCGGTAGTGGCCATTTTGAATCCGACAGTCACATGGTTTACTATGCCGGGGATGACAGATTGAAGAGGAATGGCATCATGTTCATCATCAAAAAGAACATTTCAAGCTGTGTCTTGAAGCACAACACTGTCTGTGATAGGCTAATATTCACATGCCTACAAATTTACATATTAACCACTAAAGCCAGTGATGATGAAATTGAAGAATTCTACCAACTTCTTCAGTCTGAAAATTGATCAAACATGCAATCAAGATGTATTGATAATAACCGGCAATTGGAATGCAAAGGTTGGAAACAAAAGAGGAAGGATCAGTAGTTATAAAATAGGACCTTGGCAATAGAAATGATACTGAAGATCACATGATAGAAATTTGCAAGACCAATGACTTTTTCATTGCAAATACCTTCTTCAAACAACATAAAAGACTACTATATACATGACCCTCACTAGATGGAATACACAGAAATCAAATTGACTACATCTGTGGAAAGAGACGGTGGAAAACAAGGCCACGGGCAATCTATGGAACAGACCATCAATTGCTCATATGTAAACTCAGGTTGAAGCAGAAGAAAATTAAAACAAGTCCACGAGAGCCAAAATATCCTACCTAAATTTAGAGATCATCCGAAGAATGAATTTGATGCATTAGACACTAATGACCGAATGTGGGAATGACATCAAAAACATCATCCAGGAAGAAAGCAAAAAGGTCATTAAGACAAGAAAGAAAAGACCAAAATGGATGTCAAAAGTAACTCTGAAATTTGCTCTCCAGTGTTGTTAAGTGCTGTCGAGTTAGTTCTGATTCATAGCGACCCTGTACAGGGTTCCCAAGGAGTGACTGGTGAGCTTGAACCGCCGACTTTGTGGTTCAACGTGACTTTCCAGTCCAGAGCATTAAACCTGCAGCACCATACCAGCATAGAGATGCTAAAAGTAAATGGAAGAAATGAGGAGGTGAAAGAGCTGAATAGAAAATTTCAAAGAGCAGTTCAAGAAAAAGTTAAATATTATAATAAAATGTGCAAAGACCTGGACCTAGAAAACCAAAATGAAAGAACATTCTCAGCATTTCTCAAGCCTAGAAAACTGAGGGAAAAAATTCAAGCCTTGACTTGCAATATTGAAGGATTCTATGGTCAAAACCATGAATGATAAATAAAATATCAAAAGATATTAGAAAAGAAATGGTCGTTACTCAACCATTTCAAGAGGTAGCATATGATCAAGAGCCAATAATAATAAAGGAAGAAGGTGCATTGAAGGCATTGGCAAAGAACAAGGCTCCAGGAGTAGATAGAATACAAACTGAGATCTTTCAACAAATTGATGCAGCACTGGAGGCATTCACTCATCTAGGCCAGGAAATTCAGGTAGCCAACTGAATGGAAAATATACATATATGTGCACATTCTAAAGAGAAGTGACCCAACAGAATGTGGAAATTGGACAACATTATTAATACCTCATGCAAGTAGAATTTTGCTAAAGATAATTGAAAATCAGCTGCAGAGAACTGCCAGAGATTCAAGCTGGATTCAGAGGACATGGAACCAGGGATATCACTGCTGACGTCAGATGGATCTTGGCTGAAAGAAGGTATTTACCTGTGCTTTATTGACTACACAAAGGCTTTTGATAGTGTGGATCATGACAAGCTATGGACAACATTGCAGAGAAAGAGTATTCCGGAACACCCGATTGTGCTCATGAGGAATGTGTATATAGACTGAGGCAGTTGTTGGAAAAGAACAAGGGAACACTGAATGGTTTAAAATTAGGAAAGGTGTGCACCAGGGTTGTATTCTTACACCATATTTATTCAACTTGTATGCTGAGCACATCATCAGAGAAACTGGGTTATATGACGAAAACCATGGCATCAAGACTGGAGGAAGACTCCTGAACAGCCTTGTTTGCTGAAAGTGAAGATGACTTAAAATATTTACTGAAGATCAAAGACGTCATCAGTAAATATTTCGGTGTGGATTGCATCTCAATGGAAAAAGCAAACATCTGTCACTACTGGACCAATAAACATCTGTCAACCGAGGAGAGTGAAAAAGACTTCATTTTGCTCAGATCAACCATCAGCACTCATGGAAGCAGCAGTCAAGAAATCAAATGACGTATTTATTGCATTGTGCAAATTTGCTGCACAAGACCTCTTTAAAGTGTTAAGCAAAGACGTCAGTTTGAGGACCAAGGTGTGCCTGACCCAATTATTTTCGATAATTTCAATATTGAAATTCAAGATTGAGATTATTTTCAATAACCTCATATGCATGTGAAAACTGGACAGTTTATAAGGACCATAGAATTGATACATTTGATTTGTAGTGTTGGAGGAAGTACAGCCAGGATGGTCAGACTTCGATCTCTCATACTTGGGACCAGTCCCTAGGAGAGGATATCATGTTTGGTAAAGTTGTGGTCAAGTACCATTGAGTCAGTTCTGACTCATTGCGACCCTGGATAGGGTCTTCAAGGAGTGGCTGGTGAGCTTGAACCGCCAACCTTGCAGTTCAAATGGCTTTGCAGTCTGGTGCATTAAACCACAATGCCACACCAGTGGAGGGTTGGTAAAATTAGGAAGACGCCCGACGAGATGGATTGGCACAGTGGTAGCAGCAATGGACTCAAATGTAGCAATGAATGTGAAGTTGGTGCAAGACCGGACAGTGTTTCATTCTGTTGTGCATAAAGTCACTGTGAGTCTGTACCGACTTGATGGGTAGATTATGAAGAGGCCCCATTGAAACCAACACTGCATCTACCATGGGCAGTCAGAGAACCAACCAACCTGTCTTGGAAGTACAGTCAAAATGCACCTTAGAAGATGGTGACATTTCATTTTGTGTACTCGACAGTCCCTGGAGATTGTCAGCGTCAGCAAAATATGGAAAGATCTTTCACAAGACAGACTGACACAGTGACAGCAATGATTGATTTGTGAGGATGGCTTAGGGTCAGGAAGTGTTTGGATCTGTTGTGAACGCGGTCGCTCAGAGTTGGAACTGACACAACAGCACCTACTAACAACCGAGTAAAGAAACAGAAAAAAATTATTCATCTTAGTGGATCTTCCCCCAGGTCAAAATATGCCATTCCATTTTCCCTTGGCTTGTGTTATCTTTACGGTAATACACATTGGAATGACGGTTTACTAGACAGCTGCCATGTATTGATGAGCCAAGAACTCCTTACTTGGAAATGTGCCCCATTAATTGGAGGCTGATTCACCAGCATCCCTTTCATCTTCACTAAGGGTGTGGTGCTGTAGGATAAGCACTCAACTGCAAGGTCATCAAGTCAAATCCACCAGCCACTCTCAGAACCAACTCAAAGGCACTTCACAAAAGTTTGCCAGTCTTCATACAACAAAAAGATGGAGATGCAGGGAAGGCTGCTGACATGCGTTACTAGGGTGTGCAGTGGGGCTGGGGCTCACACCCAGCTGCCAAATTCGGATGCTCTTCCTTATCTCTGAGCCCCCTTCTAGTGTCAGGTTAGGGTTAGTTTCAACACAGGCCTGGCTGGCCTTCCCCTCTTCTGTGGACTTGGATGACTGGAATGTGTTTCTAGGGTGGTGAGATCACTCTGCATGTCTGCTTCCCAGAGTCCAGGTAACACCAGTGTGTCAGTTCCGCCACCCCATGGCGACCTGTCTCTCTGGGTGCATTTGAAAAATTGGTTTTTGAAATGCAGTGTCAGTCAGCAGTGGTGTAAACACTTAACTGCCAAAAGCTCTAGAAATGCTTGAAGGAGCTCTGCCATCCAACACCACTCAGGCAGTGCACCATCAGTGCACTGGAGTCACAGCTAATCAGTGAAATGCACCCAATCAACTCTAATGAAAGGTCTACTTAGATTTTTGTAAGCGATTGCTATTGTACCAGAATAACTGAATAAATACTTTCTATTTGCAAATAACCAGTCTTCTATAGCTACTCCCCAGCTTACAGTTGTCAGGTTTACAGCAGACTTTTTATCAAGCGTTATTTCTAATTTCTTGAATCTTTTTCCCCCTTAGCAAGTTAAATGAAGACCTGCAAACTGCCTGCCGAAGGAAACCATTTTAGTCTTCAGAGAGCTGTACTTTTTTTTTTTTTTTAAAGTTTATTTTCTATGCGCTATTTAGGTAACCAAGAGACGGATTTTATATTTTTGAAAATAAGACTCATCTAGGAAACTGTACTGATTACTCCCCTGAGAGACAACAGAAATAACTTTTATAAAATATCTTACTGGGAAAGTATTGTAGGAGATGGGTTGGAAGAGGTTGGTCTTTCTCCTTTAATACCAAGCCTGTTAATCTTCAGGCCACTAAATACTAATCTCAGGCAAAATGCACATACATTTGTGCTGAAATTTTATAGTTAATGTTAGAACTTGAATTGGTACCAAGCCTTTCAGAACTAGCATAGGCAATGTGTTTGAAATAAAAATGTACATGTTAATTTCCACTGTGGACCCCATTAATCACAATGTCTTTATTAATAAAGCAACATGCTTAGATCAGCATGAGCTTCGTATATACCAAGGAGCTGGGAATGTATTAAGTGGCAATCTTTGATTCTTGCAATACGATGAAGGTGACAGAACATGCTGGGGTTTCGTACATCGTGGAACTACATAGACTTGCTCCAGATGCCACGCTGGTGGGTGTGTAACCAAGAGGTTAGGTGGCTGTGGCGAGAAAATACCCAAGGCTTGTTCCATTTTTAATTCACTGAGGTGGCTACAACTGGGATAGGACTTCCTGCAGCCCCCAACCCCATGCTGTGGCCATGCAGCCCACTTCCGCCGGGGGTGCAGATGACAGTGCTATTTGAACCACCCGCATCCATGTCTTAACATCACTTCCGTTTTCCTGTGAAGGGCCAGAGTAATTACTTCAGACTTTGTAGCGTCTCTTCCATATATTTGAAAAAAGCACCAGAGAAAAGTTTTAAAAGCCATTGTGAGCTCTCAGGCCGCACTTGGCCATGGTTCGCAGGCCTGTCTGACAGTCCACATTTAGAAGATTCTAGGACATAGTATCTTTGATGCAAAGATGTTATTGTTACACGTAGAGGGTCAAATAGCCCACCACAAATCCTAATGGAAAGTCCCAAAGTTGACGTGAATAGCAATTTCTAGTTAAAATCAACAGGTAGGAGAAATGGTTGGAATCCAGAGCCCACCGACGACCATAGGGATGCCCAAGTGTCTCGGGACCTGACAGTGGTGGGAAGACCCAGTTGGGGGCGCTTGATGCTGTCAGTGCTGTGGCATGTTGAGTCGACAATTTATTAGTCCTTATAGAAAAGAGATGGTGCCTGGTGTGGCACCGCAGGGTAAGCACTGGATTGCTAACTGCAAGGTCAGCGGTTCAAGCCCACAAGCTGTTTCTTGGAAACCCTATCTATACAAGGTCACCACGAGCCGTGACCGCCTTGACAGCACTTTAACAAGTGAAAAGGCAAAGTCAACACATGTCACACACACACCTGGAGAACCTGCCCCTGGGGTTCACTTTCACAGCCCACCTAAAAGTCTAAGAGACAAAGCTGGCTGGGGCATCACCAAGAAACAGGCCTGGAATCGCTGTCTAAACAGTTTTCTTTATGCCAGTGGACTCAGATGGAGGGCAGAATTTGGTTCCCAAGTCCCTTTAGAGCACAGTTGAAAATGTGGGAAAGAAAGGGTTTTGCTAAGTGTTTTACTTGAAACTTACGAAGAAAGGATTGTGGAAGGACTTAACAAATGGAAGACTGCCTTCATCAAAGGAAGGGCTATTAAACAGCAGGGAGTTTTTGAAATAGTTGTCATTCCTTGAGAATTAAAACTAGCCACATGTTGACCCTGAGAGTGGCAGCCCCCATGCTGGTCTCTCTGCTGCACACAAGCAGAGGTAGCTGATGTTAGTCTTCAGGCACCCCACTGTTGGAGGCTGCTTTCTCTGGTTTCCTCCCTACGTGTCAAGGCAGGTCACAATATGAAACCACAGTAATGATAATGGCCAGTCCCTGAATGGGTCAGTATGGAGGCTAGAGGAACCCACACAGGCAGTAATGGGGCCTCTCAACACTAGTGAAGATCCTACTGAACCACACACAATAGTCTCCCCAGTTAAGAGTCCTTATTGGTGGTAAATACTCAACAGTAAAAATCCAAATCAAAGTTAGATTTTATTAAAATCAAAGCACCAGTCTGTTCCAAATCATTAAAAAAAGAAAAGGTAACTGAGACATGGCCTCCGGTGTCCTTCACAAGCAGCAGGTCGTCATGGAGAATGAGGCGAGTGATCAGATTGGCTGGCCGCCTTCTCATTCACCAGCGTGTGAACACCACACCCCGGAGGAAGGTGCGAGAAACGTTTGTAAAAAGACATCAAGTATTAATTTACATGAGGTTATAAAATACTTTTAAAAAATATGTACATGGTCGTTTACAAGGGTTCAATTTCAGTTAAGAAAGCACAGCGCTGAACTCATGGGCATGCCCATTAATGGCCAATCAGACCCCTCTATTTCGCTGGTTTGTAACGAATACAGGTACATAGAAAATGAGCACATTGTCAATTACATGCAGCAGCTGACTTTTGGGGTTCACACTGGCTTATGGCTCAGGCCTCAAAGTGTCTCCCCTTCCAGGATCTGACTTGTCTCTTTCTCTCCACGGAACCCCAATGTCCCAGCGGAAGCCTTCCAACAGCACAGCATGCTGCTGGGCCAATGAGGAGCCGAGCCCTGCCTCTCTCTTCTCAGAGTGCAGTCCTTGGCGGCCACTGTGCGGCGGGCAGGACATACACAAAAGCCTGAAGACAGACAAACTACCCTCCACTTCCTGCCCTCCGGTCAGGAAAACCAAGCAGAGTCTGCCCACTCAAAGGGCCAAATAACGTGCCACCGAATGTGGATGTAAAATATTCTTGACCTTGAATGTGGAACAGCTCAGTCCCTTCCTATTCCCATGTCCTCCGATGTGCGCGCCTGAGTTTCTTTACTGCTAGCACCTGGGACAGCTGCTCTGAGCTGGAGCCACGTGGAGCCCAGCACCCACACCTCTGCTTAGTCACAGCCCAGGCCACTGTGTGCTTGTGGTCAGCAGTGGAGGGGTCAGCAGCCATGACAGCGGTAACAGGGGTTCTACCAGAGCTTTTGATCAGAGGTAAACAATGGGGTGCTCAAGTTTTGGTCAGGATGGCTTCAACTGCCCTGAACATTTGGAGGGAAGGGGTGGAGTTCGGGCCTTCTCGGTTACCTCTATTACAGTCTCAGAACTTCTTAGCTGGGAGTCAACCAGGCACAATGGGTTGTCTCAGGATCTTAATCTTAAAGACAAAAGGACTATTTGGAGAGAAACCCAAGACATTTCTGACATCTGATTACAAGAGAGATGGTGCCTGTCCTTCAGCAAAGATGGTGACAGTGACGATGACGGTGACACAGAAAACATGACCCTGAGCCTAACAGTGGCGGCTTTGGACACGGCTCAAAATCCTGTCTCCGTGCCCTTGACTTTTGTTCTCCAGGTTACCTGCCTTCTTCACTCTGTCTGAACCCAGGACACAAGTCAGGAAGAACAGACAACAAACCTACTAGCAAAAGCTCCACAGCTGCCTGCCATGCTAAAGTGTTTGAGTGACAAGGGGACAGTTTAAAGGAACATAGTAATGATACAGGACTCCTGGTGGGTGTGGCGCGGTAGGAAAAGCACCGGAGTGCTAACTGAAAGGTCGGCTGTTCAAACCCCTAAGCTGCTCCTCAGGAATCCGATATAGACAGGGTCATTCTGAGTTGGAACTGACTCCATGGCACTTAACAACAGCAACAATTAACGTCCCATGGAGCAGTGGGCTGAGCGTTGGGTTTCTAACTCACCAGCGGCTCTAAGGGGAAAAGACAAGACCGTGGCGATTGATGGCCTCGGATCCCTCGGAGCAGTTCTACTCTCTACCCTACACTGTCACTGTGAGACAACCAACTCGACGGCAGTGAGGTTTATAGTCACATGCAGTGTTGTCAAAATCTGTTCAAATATGAGGGGGTTTCAAAACTTCTGGAATAATGAATTCTAATAGAAATTGTTTCACGAACTTACTTGTTGCCCCCTCATCACTTTGGAGAACACATGTGAAATGCATTTTTGAATAGAATCATATTTGGGAAAGTGACGGAGATGTTACCAGCTTATTACTACATAGTGGACACTGGGCTTGAGCTTGGCCTCTTCAGAGCAGGACCCAAGTGCTTATTAGCCAGTGGGCACAGCACAGCTTCAAGGTGTCCGTTTAAATAGCAACACCATTTGGGTCAGAGCAAGTCCTCCAAATGAATTTGTGGGAGAGGAAACGATACCAAAGGTTACATTCTTACTAGTTACTAGTCAGCTCTAGGCTAGTCTATCAACCGAAATTTCCTTCAAGTGATGTCTGATAAAGGTTTCCTTTGACAAACGAAAAATAAGTCAATATTACGTCAAGTGTTTGATCAGCAAATGGCCCTGGGACATTCTTCCCCTAGCTGTACTTTAGGACAGGGAAGGGGGACCATAGATGGGAAGCAGAGCAGCTGGGTCAGTCCTCAGAGAGGGGCCTACTGTGCCTGCACCCGGAAGATGACAGTCATAGGAAATCGATGCTTCAGACAACGCTCACTTCCCACCACCAGTGCTGCTCTAAATCCCTCACACATTTTCATGCCAGTGACACAGGCAAGTGAGACTCACAGAAGCCAAATGCCCAAAGGCACTCTTAACAAAAGAACCCTCACAGCAGGTCCATATCCATGGCTGCCTCTGGAATTGAAAGGGGCTCCACGCAAACTTGGGGGACTTATGGGAAAGGACCACCTGCACAGCTAGAACCAGCCAACCACACAGAGACACAGCAAAACCAAACACGTGGACACCGACCTCCTTAGTGGAAGAAGCCCAAAAAAGACTCGCTTTAGAAACGCACGAAAAAACAGCCTGGAAAACCTGCTCTACAAATCACCCCTACAGACAAGGTAAAAACAAAACAAAAATCAAACATGTTTTCCTGATTTTTCTTTAATACAGTTGCCATCTTACATGATATACTATTAGGTGTCTTCTGAACAGCATCTAGTCTACCCTTTTGTGGGGCCCGTTACCCCGGAACAACACTCATAAACCTCTCATTCACGGAGAATTTAGCTTCGGTACTGTCTACCTAACTCGGATGGCCAGGCCATCGTTAATGGGTTGCAGTATCCACTGTCTAAACATGGATTAACTCACACATTCAAACCACATCAAATTCTTAAGAGTTCATACCAAGTCTCCCCTTTCTCTATAGGAGCTATCACCCCAGACGCCATTTTGGAACCAAAAAGTGGGAAGAAATGTCTTTATTTTGTTGATGCTTGTATCTCTCTTTCTCTCTCCCTCCTCCTTCCTGCCTTCTTCCTTTGTAAGAGGTTAAAAGAAATAGGTTATTAAGGAAACCAATGTCTAGTCAAAATCAGAGTGGCCACAAGTCCTTCCCTGTACAGTTGTAACCACTGATTAAACGTTCCTGGAAACCTCGAACAAGGAGAATCTAGAACGCAGCCCAAGTCGGAGGTACTGTTTATTTAAGCAACTGACGCTCCTCGAGGCTTTTGAGGCGTTTCTTCCGGGGCTGTACAAAGTCATCGTCTGAATCATCACTAAATTTATTATCTTCTGATTCGTTTCTGAATTCTATCTTAGGAAACCTTTTCTCTGGATAAAGGTTCTTTAGAAGTTCTTCAAAATAGCTTTCAAGTTTTATACCAGCATTGGCGACTTCTGAATCAGGCTGTGGGATGAAAAGGAAAACACAAATTAGAAACAAAACAAAACACCCACAAAGTCAACAAACAGTCAACAAGGAATCAGTCTCTGGCTTTTGTTCCCTCAGTTTCTGGGCATCTTTTTGGTTACTGACCAAACATGACTATCCTGGAGTTGGACAAAGCCTAGAGAAGCTTAGCCCCTGAGTGAGTAGCGGGCTCTGTCTGACCTACGGGGTTACAAACTGTGAGGGTAAAGCAGCGGCAGGTCTGGATTCCCAGAGAGAGATCAGAGATACTGAAGGCCAGAACCATGAACAGTTACTTCTAGAAAGAATGGAACACAATGTGGTCAGTAGGCTGAGTAACTGACACACACAGAAAAAACCATCCACAAAATGCGTACATTAGCTAGATGATGAGATAAACTGACAAGATGAAAGAGGTTAAACATTTTAATGTTTCAAAATCCTCATCAGGAAGACTGAAGTCTGGAAGGGCTGCATTTCAAGGAAAAAGGGAAGATGATAATATTTGTAGGTAAGATGAAAGCATTTTCTGCATTGTCTGCAAGTGATTACCTTTAATTTCATTTCTACTCACCATACAATACACCTTCAAATATAAATGTGGATCAAATCTTTTCCTAAAACCCTGGCAGTGAACTTTGGGACATTTCTGCATTTTTAATTTTTTAACCCCCTTTTCTCTCACCTCATTGAATTCTGCACAGTTTTGAAAGATTAATCTAAAGTCAGCTACAAAATCTTCAGGCTTTGTATACAGGGAATAATCCTCTTGCAGTCTTCTCTTGATGGTTGACAAGTCCATTGGATTTTTAATTATTTTGTAATAATCAGGCACCTTTCAAAATAAACGAGAGGCTATGACACAAATAACTAAATCCTACATACACCCTGCTTCTTGTGGGATACACTGCAGTTGTGTCTTCCTGCTTTTCTCTGTATCATTTTGTCCTTGGTAAGGACTGCTATCAGACATTTGTAAGTGCCCAGAAGCGTAGTGGTTATGCGTTGGGCTGCGAACCTAAGGTCGGCAGTTTGAAACTACCAGCTGTTCCGTGGGAGAAAGATGAGGCTTTCTGCTCCTGTACAGATTGACAGCCTCAGAAACCCTGTACAGGGTCGCTATGAGTGGAAACCGACTCCACAGCACATAACAAAAACAACAACTGTCTCCCCTACACATTGTAAATGTTTGGGTCCCTTCTTTAACTTTTTTTTTTTTTTTAATAAACACTAAAAACCAGTGATTGTTGATGGAAAAGAGTGCCCCTGCAGGCAGGACAGATGGTGTGCATGTTGCCTGACTGACACCGGCTGACCGCTGGGTGGAGCCCAGGGGGGCTGGCTCTACAACAGGAACCTCAGCGAGTTATTTAACCTCGCTGAAACCTACTCTTAGTCCAAACCAGATAATCACACAATCAGGCAGAATTTTGTAAATGAGATCCAATTTACTGAGAAAAGGGGAGTTCTTTTGTGGCTACTGCCACTATTAGCATTAAGTTAGCATGATCTAAAGTACCTGGGAAAAGCTTCCCAGCAGACAGCACTGGAGCTGGTGTTCTAAAACACTCTGGCCTTCTCCTTCCTCTTCTGGTTGTAAAAGGCCTTTCCCCTGAAAGTGTTTACTTCCTTTTCACTCTTAGCTTCTCAAAACCTGTTACTAGCCGAATGTCCTTAATCGGGGAGTTTTCTTTTCTCCAGGCATTTCAGACAACAGAAAATCCAGGTGATCATATTCTAGGGAGCAGGCCCGAATAGCACACCATGAGTCCACTTTTCAGACTTTCAATGTGAACATCCCCACCTCTACTCTTTGGTTAAAATCTTCCTATGCCTTCAACTCTAGGCAAAGAAATCAAAGTAAGTACAGAGAGTTTGGAGGTTTTATCTTAACTGAGAAGTTTTTCCAATACCTTGTTCTTGTTAAGTACCATGGAGTCGGTTCCGACTCATAGTGACCCTGCACAAGGTTTCCGAGGCTACAAAACTTTACGGGAGCAGAACACCTCATCTTTCTCCCGCGGAACAGCTGGTAGTTTCGAACTGGACCTTGAGGTTAGCAGCCCGATTTGTAACCACTACGCTACCAGAGCTCCTTTTCCAATAGCTTAGGAAGTGCTTAAAAAGTTCCTGAGCTAAAAAACAATTGCTAGAAATCATCCCAGGGGATCCCAGCTACAACAGATGAACATTAAAACTGTCAGAGAAATATATAGGTCAGTTTTGTAAACTTAATTGTTCTTACTGAGGAGCTGAGTGTTCAGTACCAGGAAGTATCACAAAGTCATGGGAAAGTAAATCAAGAGGTAGTGGGCTTTCCCAGAACCTTTCTGAAGCCCTTTGTACTTACTAATAAGCTTGAAGGTTAAACTTAACTCACTATTGGGAAATGGCATAGACACTAGATTCTCCTAAATCCCGTTTCAGAAAATCCATCCCTAAGTATAAAAGGCACAACATGTCATGGGACACTTACGGTTAGAGGCACTGGGTCCTGAAAAGCCAGGCTCATTTCATGGCAGTAAAGAAATAAAAGGAGCCGCTCACACTTCTAAGCAAAAGTAAACAAATAAATAAAAATTAAAAACAAACCCAGTAAGAAACGGAAACAGCGACTCCACTGCGTATTTTTAACAGTGATCGCACACATAGGCACTGGTGGGCGGTGGGGAGCATGTGGTAGCCCTGCCCTTGAGGCAGCAGGACAAATGCCACTCCATCCGGTCAGTGGGTCCCAGGTGATGAAGAGGGCGGGCACATGGAGAGTGATCCAGGGGAGGCCCAGGCCATGATCTGTGGACTAGGGCTTCTCAGCCTGGCCCAGCAGGGTCCCACATATATGTCTGGGCCCCACTCTGCATGTACTTTTGTGCTGACTGGTCTACTGAATAATTTAGCAAAGGAGGTAGTTTACTAACAAACAGTGTCCACTTAGTAGCTTTACATTTTAATTACAGCTAAAGTCCCTAACTGGCTTTGATGTATACCTACTACCTTACAGTGAAAGGTAAAGGTGTATACACCAGACTAAGAGAAAACCCAGCTCTCCTTGCCGCCAATGGTCAACACATTTAGAAGGAGAAACTTATTTGTGGAAGAAATAAAACTACAATAAAAATGGACTCATGGGAGACAAAATCCCAAAAAGCCCAGGTGGTGTGCAGGATACAGGCTCTAGCTTGTTCAGAACATCACCTTAAGCTTTTATACAGTATTGTGTGTTTTCTTTATTAATTAAAAAAGTTATAGAACATCTGCTTTTAAATATAATAAGCTTCACTTTTTTGAAAAACACTCCAGAGGAAAAAAGAAATCGGTGTGAAATGGGATTGAACATATTCTTCTTCGACCAACAGCAAGCCCACTGAGTTACAATCACACATCTAACAAAACCGGCTGATGACGTGACTGGAAAGGCGAGCACTTACCCTTTTGTCTATTGGAGTTAAGCTGCCCAAGCCTTCACTTTTCTTTTTCTCTGAGTGGGGACTGGGAGAATCACAATCATAGTCAACTTCAGGCTTAGAGAAGTCTCGGCAGAAGGTGCAAATCCACTCTCCACTGTGGGAACAGAGTACTCCTGAATTCCTGCTAAGTTGTTTCCCACCGCTGTGCCCCCACCCCAGCCTATGTCGAGTCAGTCCTGACTCATGGAGACCCTGTACAGTGTTTCCAAGTGGTCCAGCGCTTATCCTACAGTGTCACCTGTAATACAGGTGGATTTGGCCTGAATTTTAATAAATGAGCATTCGGCACACATCCACTATGTGCACAGCACCATGCCAAGAAAGAGACAGACAGAGTATGAAGGACAGAGCTGCAGCAAATTGTCATTGTTTCTCACACAATTCAGGAAAAACAATGGAAATTTAAAAACAGGAAAATTCTAATTAATGAACTAAGACATCTCTTCAACATCATCATCATCACCACCATCTTGATGGGTTCTCTGGAGGATCTATACACTAAGATGTTTGTAAACACCACAGTACCTACATGACTGGCAAGTTCCGGTCAACAGTCATGGCTGTCAGTATGACGGACTGGTTCTTCACAATAACTCTGTTCACAATGACCACTCTCCTGTCAAGGTGAGACCTACCTGGGGAAGTTGGCCAGTGTGGGCACGTGGCAGGAGAGGTGGAACACTTTGGGACACTTCTCACAGCACAGGAGCTCCCCCCCATTCTGACACACCGCACACCAATCCTCGTTGGGATCATCCTCTTTCCTTGTGTCTCCAACATGGAGGGGGGACTTCTGGGCAGTGTCCAGCCACTTGGACTTGCCGTTGGAGGCACTTTCCTGGTGGAGCCCAGGCTGGTCTCCTGTGCTGTCTGGAGCGTCAGACCGGGGCGCAACCTCCTCAGAAGCAGAGCCCTGGCTGCTGTTGAGGAGCAGGGTGGTGAGGATGCTTCTGGGATAGTTGGTCTGCAGTGGGAAGAAAAACAGTCTGGGTGGGTTTTTTTGGGTTTTTTTTATTACTAATGACTGGCACTTCTGGGCTGTAGATTGCTCTCTATAATGGTACAGCAGATGAGGATCTCAAATGGAAAATATCATCACAGCAGAAGTCTGACTATGGCTTCAGACAGGACACAACTCTGGTCCCTAATGCTGCTATAACCATACTACCGCAGTGGGGCTTTAACAACCCAACGTGCATTCTCCCATTGCTCAGGAGGCCTAACACAGGGCACCATCATTTTTATCCCCTTTAAACATTTAGACACACCCGTTATGCTGCTGGTGTTTAGTACTGTCGAACCAACTGAATGAAATCGACCCTGTATAAGGTGAGTTTCAACCGTAAACTGACATTGTATTTCAGCACACTCACCGGCAGTGCCACACTAGTACTCCAGACATAAATCTATATATACATATGTATGTGTATACACACACTCACAATTTCAAAATAATAAAAGTGGCTATACTTAAAAGCACAGGCATACAATCTCATTTCCTGGGAAATTTTCAAATCAATGATCTTTTTCCTTTTATATTAATCTCCAAATTCCTACATTATGCTCATGTTCCCATGCTCAAGATTCATGGAAAATTCCTTTATCATTTGACTTTCCATGAACTTTCTGAAGTCTACTCGCACTTTTTTCTACATTTGTACACAAGCCACTAGATTTGATTAGGCTTCCCTGCTGACAGTCTCGCAGCCTGTGGCTGACATGTGGCCCACGTAGCACCCGTCCTATCCGGACAGCAATTTTCTGGGAGGTGCCAGTGCACTGCTTTATGGCCAACATCTACTGCCCCTACTGTGCCTGCTCAGCAGCTCTGCTCTGAACTGGTCTCGTTTTATTGCTGCTACGCGCTATCAAGTCAGTTCTGATTGACAGTGATCCTGTATAGGGAAGGTGTCCTATAGAGAAGCAGCTGAGGACTTTATTCACCCGACTTTGCAGTTCAGTGCTTATCCTACAGTGCCACACCAGGGATCCCTACACTGGTCTAGTAGTGTGAAAATCACAAGTTTTGGTTAAATGCATATTCAAGGTATTGTTGTTACTGTTAAGGTACCATCAAGACGGTACCGACTCATAGTGACTGTATCCACAACAGAATGAAATACTGACCAGTCCTGGCCCAACCTCACAATCACTGCTATGCCTGAGCCCACTGCTGCCACCACTGTGCGAATTCATCTCGTCGGGGGTCTGCCTCTTTTTCTCCAACCCTTCATTTAACTCAACATGATATCCTTCTCCAGCGACTGGTCCCTCCTCACAGTATGTTCAAAGTATGAAAGACGAAGTCTGGCCATCCTGGCTTCCAAGGAGCACTCTGACTGAACTTTTTCTATTACAGATGCGTTTGTTCTTTTGACAGCCCATGGTATTTTCAAATCTCCTCCAACACCATAACTCTTCTATGATTCTTCCTTATTCACTGTCCAACTTTCCCATCCATATGAGGTTACTGAAAATACCGTAGCCTGGGTCAGGCGCACCTTAGTCCTCAAGCTGACATCTCTGCTCTTCAACACTTTAAAGAGGTCTTGTGTAGCAAATTTAACTAATGCAATACATCATTGATTTCTTGACTGCTGCTTCCATGAGTGTTGTTGGGTGATCCGAGCAAAATGAAGTCTTTGACAACTTCAGTCTTTTGTTAATTTATCATGATGCTATGTATTGGTCCAGTGGTGAGGATTTTTGTTTTCTTCACATTGAGATGCAACTCATACCGAAGGCCATGGTCTTTGAGCTACAGATCAGTAAGTATTTTAAGTCCTCTTTACTTTCAGCAAGCAAGGCTGTTTCACCTACGTATTGCAGGTTGTTAATGCGTCTTCCTCCAATCCTGATGCCATGTTTTTCTTCATATAATGCCTTCCAACCTGAGGGCCTCATCTTCTGTCACTATATTCTGGTGCTCTTGCATCATGTTTGATAGTCAGTAATCTGGTGCTGACACTATTCCACTGCAATTCACAGGGTGCTCAGTGACTAAACATTCGGAAGGAGTCCGTTTCTACTTCTTCCGAGTCTTTGTCTGGAAACTCATCTGAAACCTGTCTACTGTGGGTGACCCTACTGGTATTCAAAACACCCATGGCACAGCTTCCAGAGTCACAGCAATACAAAAGTCACCACAGTCTGAGAAATGGATACAGACAGACAAGTGGTGGATTCCAGGCACAGTCAGTCTACTCTTGTCCTAGGTTTTCATTAACCCCATAGTCAGGTGTGTACTGTAGCAACGATGTAAACACTGCTTGCTGCAGAACTCTAGAAGGGAGTAAGACTACAATTCCTTTTTTGAATAGCTTTTTGATTTTACTGAGAGTTAATAATGACTTCATTTTTTTCCCCATTTGCTTTTTTTAAATGCACCTGTTGTCTCCATGAAGGCTGTACAATGCGTTTATCAATAATGCATTCTCCTCTCCATTGGCACCTGTTGGGAGCAGCTATCTAGGGGTGACCCTCCTGTGCCATGTTAGCCTGCACACTTGGGGTCTCATGTCTTCTTCCTTCACCCTTTTGTTTGATGATGCAAACTGTCAATCATCTCCCCAATGAAGAGAGCATGCCCTGCAGGAGAGACATCTGCCTGGTAAAGCAGTCTGCTTAGGTAGCATTTGTCCCACAATTTTGATATTTCTCGACCATTTGCTAGGTTCTGGTGCTAGTGCTGAGACTTAGAGCCATTGCATCTAATCTCTGTGTGTGACGGGTGCTTTTTCTCTGGTGTTTTGTTGGAGTTGGAGTGCCCTCTGCCTGGAGTTTTCTCTGCATGTATTAATGTTCTGCTCCCCAAAGACCCTGTCCATCTAGGTTCTCATGGGACAATTCACTTTCTTTCTTGTATTATTTCTTTGGCAATTACCTTCCATTTATCCTATCTATTCTGTCTTTTCTCCATGGCTCTCAGGGAGCCTCTGGTCTTCTTGGCCTTTCTTGCCTCTTCCCATCACTTTGTCCTTTCACTCACTTTACTGAGATATTTCCTCAACTGTTATTTCAACTCTATGTCGACAACTTCTGCCTTAAAATGTTCCCATTTTTACATATTAAGAGTAACTGAAAAGTTTCACCCTGCCCTTTCCTAGGAATTGTATTATAGATGTAAACAATTACATTTTGAGGTCTGGAGTCTTCATCTGACTCTTGTTTTACTATCACAACAGGAAAGTCGTAATTCTCAGGCGGTCCGCTGTTTTCTTGTTTTATTCGGATGGGCTCCAGCATGACCACGGGGACTTTGTGTGTAGAGTCAGCTCCTGCTGGTTTGCTACAAGAGCCAGAGCTGTAAGTATGAGAGAGAAGAAAGAAGACAATCGGAGATTGCCATACAAAGTGTGAACACAGAGTATGACAAGCAAAGACAATTACTGAGCAATAAACTATGCTTAACTGAGATGTAAGTACTATATGCACATAAACTGCATTTATGACAAAAATGACATCACACATCTGGGAAGATGTTTAAATAAAATCTGAATTGACAAAACAGACTTGGATATCCCAGGGCGAGCACTAGCATCTTCCTCATGCATCTGCACATCCCTCTGGTTAGTGAGGAAAAGCTGGCTACAACCCTAGAGCGAGGACAGTATTTCCTGGTATGGGCTACACAGAGAGGGCAGTGGGTATTTACAGATGCCCACTGTGTTAGATGGAGTCCTGGTGTGGCACTGTGGGCTAATGCATTAGACTGCAAAGTCGGTAGTTCAAGCTCACCAGAGGGTTGCAATGGGTCGGAATCAACCCGATGGCACTTAACAACAACAACATAGGTGAAAATGCTGTTAGTGAACTCAATTCATTCTTCCCTAATCACAAGGGAGGAGAAATATCTAACACAGTTGTTAAGTGTCGTCGAGTGGATTCCAACCCATAGCGACCCTGTATAGGGTTTCCGAGGAACAGCTGGTAAGCTTGAACCACTGACCTTGCACAGTCTGGTGCGTTAACCCACAGTGCCATACCAGGACTCTATTTTCATATATAATGAGGAGAAAATCAAGGCAGTAACTAAAATTAGAATTTCAATAACTGTAAAAATTTCTCCCTTTTATTATATCATCCATGTTGGATCGTTAGAAGTTTACAATTAGTATAAAATGATGTCTCTTGATTATCCCCTAAGTCTGTATCTGTGTCTCCACACAGTACAGTGTATTAGACTGGCTTCATTAGGATTCGTCTTGGCTGCTTATCCAACACCCTGTTTTCTATGAGCAACATATAGACAAAAAGGGTAAATTCCTACTGTATTTACGTAACCCTTAACTAAATTATCATGGCTAATACTTAAAGGAAATTGTTTACAATGCACTGAGTCCCAAAACCTGTCAGGCACCAGAGGCTATCCTACATTAAAGTATAAGCTTAGCCCGTTACCTTCCTCGGCTCCCGACGCTGGAGGCACTAGGTGAGCGCATTGGGGGGTGGACACTGGTCATAGTGATGGGCCCTGTGGGAAGGGAACCATACACAGTCATCAAATGCATTAATAATCACGTCCTGAGTTTCTATAGAATATGCTCACTCAGCACTACATTCAAACAGGGCACAGACCATCAGTCATGGAATACATTCATACGACGGTCTGTTTGCTCAACTAAAGGCAGTATATTCCTCATCTCGTCTCTCCACTGTCTGTCTCATCCTGCGTTGTAACCCTAACCCTTCCTCTCACTCACTTTACTGCCAAGTGCTGTTGTGTTACAGTGCTCGGGGTAGGTTACCAATGAACGCTGCAGAGGAAAAGAACAATGATGGGGCAGAAGGAGAAGCAGCCCAATAAAGAAACCACACATGAGAGCAGAGTACTGCTCCAGAAGCTGAGCGCCGGCTGAGTGCAAGTCTGAAGAAGGGGAGCTGAACTTAGAGCAGCCAAGAGAGAGGGGGGTGGGAGTGGCAAGCTGAATGGTAACAGCAGGAATCAACTGGAAACAGGAAATAGAAGTGCCAAAGTGTTATGGAATCAAGTATGCCCCAAGAAAATATGTGCTGTCAATATCTCAGCCCTGATGAGAGCCTGGATTAAGGTAGGCTGCTCCATGAGAGATAGGGGGTGCTGTCTGCTCCTGTAGGAAACCCCATGTGGGGCAAATAAAAATTAAAAATCCATTGAATTGGCTTATCAGCTCTAGAGAATTTCTTCTTTGTAAAAAAAAAAAAAAAAAAACAACTAAAACATGTGCTTCATTTTAGGACATTTAAAAACTATTAAAAGACATAGTAACATTTAAGCATTCCACAACTGCTTTATCTAGATATAAAGTTAAATTTGAGGTAATCCCTCCCAACTTATACTATTGTAAATTTGACTTTAAAACCTCATTATGAAAGGACCCTTTGAATGTTACTGCTAAGTGCCATTGGTCAGTTCTGACTAATCTTGGCTCTGCTTTGAACTGCTGACCCCATGGTTCGCAGTCCAGTTCCAACCCGTAACTGAACCACACCAAAAAATCCACTAGCATCTTTCATACTACTTTCTCATTAAATTGTTTATTTTTAATCATACCTGTATATATTTGGACATTTACATTATTTCAAAATCTTGTTACTACCATAAATAAATTCCTTGTAATAAACACAGTCTGTTACCATTGAGTGGAGTCTGACTAATTTCAAACCTGCACAGGGTTTCTGAGGCTGCACATCTTTATGGGAGCAGAAAGTCTTTTGTCTTTCTCCCTCGGAGCAGCTAGTGGGTTTGAACTGCCAACCTCATGTTAGAGTCCATTGCTCATCCTACAGTTACCCGCCCACCCCACCCTCAAGTGGCAGGGTAATGATTCTCAGTGACTTATGCGATGGTTCCCTGTCTCTAATGATGCGACAGGCGGATCAGCTGTAAATGGACTAAGGCACACCCTTGTCTGCCTGGGTGTGGCCTGCATCATCATTCATCTTACAAGAGGTAACAGGAGACAGGAACCACTACAGAGGCGCCTGCTATCAACAAGAAGAGCCGGCGGAGAGCATGCCCTTCGGTTCTGGGACTCTGCACTGGGACCAAGACACACAGAGATCGCTAAGGACTCCTGGGACCACAGATGCTGAAAGCAGACAGGACCTTCCCCCAGAGTAACCTCCTCAACTGTGAGAGAACTTCTGAAAGCAGCTGTAGATTACTCAGACAGATGCTAAAACTTCTGAAACCCCCAAGAAAGCACTCAACCAAACACCAGCAAAGTGACTGTGCTGTGTCCAGGCTCAACCCAATGCTGAATTCCCACGAATGACATGCTGACAGCAACCACATCACAGGAGCTGCTCAATGAGGAGAGAGCGGAACTAGCGAGCTCCCTTCCTCCCAGAGCCCCAAGCACGCCCACCACTCCTGTGAGCTCTGCCGACATGGACAAGCTAAGGAAAGTTAACAGTTACTACCAAGGTTGAAATCTCCTTTCCTCCAACTCAGACACAGTCAGTCATTCATCCATCAAAAGAAAAAAAAAAAAGGTGTGTGTATTAAGATTTTCTTATTGCAGGTTGAGTGAAAACTGGAAAGCTAGTCACAGAGCCAAGCAGAGCCCATCCTACCTGCAAGGCCAGGGGATGGCACTGAGGAATTTGGCGACTGTACTGTTCGGTTTGAAGGTGGTCTTGGCTGGCTGTGATCTGTGCTGGGATCCTTCCTCACAACGCTGTCCAGCATGATAGTACTCGAACAGTCAATCTTAACAAGACAAGACGGCATTTCAGGGCATCCTGACTTGGCGAAAAGTGACTTTCAGTTGATAAGACTTAATGACTATCAATCGATAAAACACGTAAAGCAACGTCTGAGAAGTTCTAAGGCATATTTGTCACACAAGTCTCCTTGGGTAGATTCGTTCAGATACCACGAAGCAGGAAAATGGAGGCTACCTGTGAAACAGACCACTTTGCTGGGCCAGTACCAAACAGTTATAAAAACAGGCAGAAAAAATTTCTGTCTTCATATAAACAAAGCTATTCAGTTTGAATTCTGAGTGTTTCTTCTCACCCCAAACAAAATAAAACAAACCAAATAAAAACAAAACATTTGGAACACACTCTTTCATAGGCTTTCAAACTGAGACACTGACTCTCGAGTGTATCAGGGTCTCAGAACCCCATTTACATTCAGAAACATTTAAAGTATAAATCCTAAAAAGAGAGATTAATTTGTTTGTAATAACAAACAAACAAACAAAAGTTATAAAGCAAAAAAAGAAAAACAACAACAAAACCACCTGGAGGGCAAGTAGCCCCATTGCACATTTTCCGTTTCTGTACATCTCCTGCCCTGTGCCCAGACTGTTTCGGGCAACACTGTGAAGTCACTGGCCCCACACAGGAACGCACTCTGAGGACTGATGCTTGGGATAGGCGCTAGATTGACGCAACAAACCCATGTACAACAAGCTCTCGAAACTCTAACCTCACCCCGCCCGCCCCCCAAAACAATTTCTTATAGGTTCTGGCTTTATTATGACAATACATCTTGTTATTAAGTGCTGCCAAGTTGGTTTCTGAGGAGCAGCTGGTGAGTTTGAACTGCTGACTTTGCAGTTCAACTTTATATACTCCAGTGCATTAACCTACAGTACCACATCAGGACTCTGTGACAATATATAAACCATACTTATTAATTCACTGCCAGGCAACACATTAATATGAATACTGCATGAGACTACTGCTGTAAAAGTTAAGATTGTCTTTTTAAATGAAACATTCTATGATGGTTAGCAGGGGGTGGAGTGGAGGAGAGGAAGTATTCATGGGCTACAGAGTAGGCCTATGTTAACATGGGTGATAGGGCAGGAAGGCTGACAGAGGAAAGATGAAGAGAGCAGGACACATAGCAGGGAGTGAAAGAATTCAAGGAAACTGGTAAATACTGTGAACTGTTGGTACATAGTGGGGGGATGGTTTGCAATCATTATAATGAAGCAAAGTGTATGCTTTGCTGAATATAAAACTGATAATCTGGTTCTCTAAACCTTCACTCAATTTGTGATACAAACTTAAAAAAAAAAATTAGACACAAACACATATTTCTATATTTTTAGTGAACATGAATTTAATGTTTAGAAGCGAGTATCTCTTCATGCCTTGTTGTTGTTATGGGCTGTCGAGTGGCTTCTGACTCATAGTGACCCCGTTTGTGAGGCTTTAAATCTTCTCTCGAGGAGCAGCTGATGTCCTCAAACCACAGACCTTGTGATTTGCGGTCCAATGCTTATCATATATTATCCAAGAATATCCCTGCAATTAAAATCTAGCTCAAAGCTCCCTATAGCAGTTCCAGCCTGTCTCAGCCAGGATTCTGTGGTTTCTGCAAGGCTGGGGCTGTGTAGAATGGACTAACTGCCTGTCTTTTGAATGTGCTGGCCAGAAACCATGCCAGGGAGGACTGAGCCCAGAGTCACCCAAACGATTTTTTTTTTTTTTTTCCCCAATTGTGGTTCAGATGAGGAATTTCTATTCAGGAAGCAGGAGAATTTTGCTTTCTGTGGTCCTTCCTATTTTGTGGGTCATTTACATCTTACTGTTCTTTTGGGCTTACGTCAATCACCATGTACAATATCCGAGAGAGAATGCACGGAGCCAGTATCTTTTTTCCTCCAAAATTATGAGGTGTATTAGAAAGGTTCAGAGGTTAACTTTAACATGCTAGAAATTCAGGGTCAGAAATGCTCAGAGCACAGTTGTTCCAGGCAAGAGAGCCTCTCTTCAGCTGTACCCACAGACAGGCCTCTCTGTGTCTGGCCAATGTTCTTTACGGGACGCTGATAAATACTCACAGAACTCTGTGGATCAGCAAACCTAGCTCCTCCAATTAAGTGCCTGGAGTACAGAGTCCATCTCAAAAGCTGAAATCACACAGCCAGGATGAGACGAGTTTTCCTATATGCCATCTATGCATAAAAACGCATGTACTGGAACCACTGAAAGCGTATAAACCTGCACAAACAAAATCAACTCTAAAAAGGCTAACACCATAACCATTAGGAAACAGTCCATCTCAGTAACTGGAAATCTACACTCTTTTTAAAGTAAATAGCAACACTGCTTCACAATCTTACACGTCATAGGTCATAACTTCTAAGTACAATATATATGACATTTCTTAAAACAATTTTTAATGTCTGGTTGCGGGTGTATTTATGTAACCCTGGTAAGAGAAAAAAAACCCCATTAGGTATGGTGGTCTGTCTACAGAGTGTTCTATTTCTTATGCCTTTGGAAAAAATTACAAAAAGACATGGTTAGGATTTGGAAGTGTGGCCAGGGCCATAATTAATTAAGGAATTAAATGAGACATGGGGAAACGTGGGCATAGAAGAATTCATTGTTTTAGCAGAGCTACGATGAATTATTTTCTTTGCATGGCAGAGCCGCAAAGTTATTTCTATGCACAGACCCCTAGTTAAATTTTTCTCTTGTTAAATCATTCTCTGATTTATTCATGATTTTATTAAGTATCCCTTTTTACTTTAGTATATTTTTATTAAAAGTTAGAAGCCACACATTAGCTACATTTTATTCTACTTGTAATCTTAGGTAGTTTTAATACTTCTATTAACAATGTTCTTAAGACTGCTAGGAGACAGGATTTGTCAATTGAAGAATTACTACCAGCTTAGGTTTAGTGATTGTAAACATTCTTCTTTGTAGCCTTGGTTTAAGGCAATAAAGAATGCCACAGCCATAAATAAGGGCTGTGGATACAAGAAGTTCTAAAAGCATTTCGACTATAGATAAAGGCTATGGGTATATACAGATACTAAATAAAAAGTCTGACTCAGATGTTCTTAAATTAATGATCAGTAAATTAGAGAAGTTGTTTTTCATAGCCTCAGTTTCCCTGATAAGTGATGTTTTTGTAGGTTATAAACAGATAGTGTATGGAAGAAGTTAATGGAGAGTTAATTGCACCCAACAACTAAAATTAACAAGACTTAACAGACAAAGGTTAAGAAACATATGTGAAGGTTAACTTGCTTCTCATAGAAAAGAATAGATTTATGTATCAACAAATGTTTAACTAAAAAGGTTTCAAGGCGCCTGAATGTCTCCTGTGCCTTGAGATAATGTCTTTGCTGTAACTTCTCATCCTTGTTGTAAATTTAAGAATTGTAAACCATGAGGAATGTGCCCCAAGATAGATTGTATTTTGATGTCATTAATTACTATGAAAGCAATGTTTTTTGTAATGGTATATAAGGGGGTTGTAAGATAGAATAAGTATGTAGAGGTAAGTAAGAATTAGAGGTAAGAAGCAGAAGTAAGTAGAAGTAGAGGTAAGAGTAAGTAGAGTAAAGTAGAAGGAGACAAGAATGGAGGGAGGAGGACAGAGGGAGTAATGTAGAGAAGAAGCAGGGGAGTGGGGTAGTGAAAGTAGTAATGTAGATAATCAGGAGTAGTAGTGTAGAAAGAAAAAGAATAGAGTAATGTAGAGAAAGAGACAGTAAAGAAATGGAGGGAGGGGAAGCTAGTAAAGAAGCGGAAGAGATGAGCAGGAGAGGAAAGAATGAAAGCAGGAGCAGGGGAAGGGAGAGAAGCAGAAGAGATGAGCAGGAGAGGAAAGAATGAGCAGGAGGGTAAAAAATGAGCAGGGCAGTAAAGAGTGAGAGTAGTAGAGTAGTATAAAAATGAGAAGAATAAAGCATGTGATAAGATTTTGAATTTATCACGACTCATGACTCCATGTAATCCCTGATCGCCGATGCCGCACACGTCTTTGGAAAAAACGCTGAAATAAGTATGCCGTGGCAGGCTCCCAGAAGAAGTGTAAAACAGCTAGGAGAGAATTCTGTGCTGGTCAGCATGACCTGGCAGAAACCAGGTTTGATTTCGAGGGCCAACCTTGTCTCCCTTATAAGAGCACCTGTTGGTTTACTCGAACGTGAGATATAGCGTCACCCAGCAACAGTACTTCCTCCAGAGCCTCCTCCTCCTCAGCTTCCTATAACCTGAGAGTCAGTGGCCATTCCAGCCCCAGTACTTCCTCCTCCCAGAGTCTCATTCCTCGGGCCCCCTCTCTCAGCTTAGCTTCCGCACACCATACCTCTAAGTATCTATTCACAACAACTGTGAATTCCAGGCCTTGGGAGACACTCTGTAGTGGGCATGAATCTGCACACTGGAATGCAACACATACATGACTTTGACCAGATTCAAATCCCCTTATAATTTCAAAGGAAGCTGGGGGGTTAAATGCTGCATATACTCACATCTGGAAGAGAAGGAAGGTTGTAAGACCCTCCCACGGGGGAACTCAAATCGATCACAGGGGAGCCAAAAGTCTTTCCATCATACCCCGCTGCGCTGGTAATGGTGGGGCTGGAAGGGGTGGAGGATGTGCTGTTGGCAGTGGATGGGGCAGCCTGCCCACTGCTGATCTGCCACTTGGTATCAAGAGGGGAACAAGAACAGTGTCAATCTGTAGCAACTCTTAGAGAATAGGATAATGCTTGAAATGACATGAGTGTGTCCTTTACAAAGATAGAGCACAGAGGTAACTTTTGACCTTTTTTAACAATAATATGAAATCTAGAACTTATTTTCCTGTGAGGTCCCTCATCTAAACCCTGACCAGGTGTGTGTTCCTGTATGGAAACTGCGTCCCTATTTGTTTCTAAGACGTCTTCTGGAAACCCTGCTGCAAAAATGAACTCAAGTGCTATGACTGACAGCTGGTCAGTCACAAAGCACCCCTCCCCAGACCCCTCCCCACCGAGCTGTGACTCTATAGCACTGCCTGTCATAAACCTGGAAAGTCACACGTCTGATCACAGGAGACACACACCTGCTTGATGGCTTGCTGCGCCAAGAAAGCCATCTGTAGGGGGTTGGGCTTTATTGCAGGCCGTGGGATGCTCTGGCTTGGTGGGTATCTCAGTTGCTGAGGATGAGGAGGGAGGATTGGTCCATTGGGTTTGGAGCTGTGATTCTGATAATTTATCAAGCGTGGAGGGGGTTGCTGGAAAAAAGCGATTAAACCGATTTATTAACATTATAGAGAACTCTATTTTATAAAACATATGCAGAAAACTATCAACTCAGCCACAGAACAATCATCTATTAATACTACAACAAGGGTACTGGGGGGGAGGAGGAGGACACAAATAAAGAAGGGAAAGCAGTTGTAGGAAAAGGTAAGCAGGTTGGAACCGTACTGGAAAGAGCCCAATAGTTAAGTGCTCACCTGCCAACCAAAGGGCTGGCAGTTGAAACCCATTCAATGGCTCCATAGGAGAAAGACCCAGTAATTTGCTCCCGTCAAGATTTCAGCCTCAAATATCCTCTGAGGTCATTCTATTATTGTCATGGGGATTCTGCAACACCGCTGAGGAGGAGAGCAATGGGCCTCTGGTGTGACTCTCTTCAGCCATCCATGCCCAAGCTTAGACAGAACACCAGGTGCTACTGCAAGTGTTTTACAGGCATAAAGCCACTGAACCGTAAGAACCACCCCACAAGGTGGAGAGGTTATTCTTTCCGTTTACAGAGATGGAATCTAAGATGTAGATGCTTTTAGTAATTTGATTAAAGATGAAAAGTTTGCACTCTTAAGCATGAAGAGCGCTGACATCAGCTCTCACTGTGACTGGACTACCTTCCATACACTGTGATGAGGCTTGTACAGATGTGATCTCAATGAGCCCTATGAAGGAGACATCGCTATCCCCACTCCGTTTGAGGACACTTAAAGATGAGAGAGCTTGGAAAACTTGAATCCCAATACACGCTGCCACATCATGACCAGAGATTATGGTGACATTTGCTAGTGATTGGTAAGTAAAGGCACTGATTAATTCCAGCTTGGGGATGAGTCTGCCCAGAGGAAGCAGGTGTTGAGAGGGAGCCCTCCAAGACACAACAGTGGCTGATTTCAGGACAGTGGGGATAAGTGTGGCAATGAGAGATGGGGCCAGAGCTGCTTGCAATGCCAGCCCTGTAAAACAAGACCAGCGTTTTAGTAAAAGGTAGCTTTATATGCCAGTCTATTCCAGTTCTTTTTCTTGGCTGACACTCTTTCGCAAAGGAAACAGTCTGTCTCAATCCATGAGGTGATTTCAAAAGTTTCATGAAAAAATGGGATTAAACATCCTGAGTGGTTTTTTTTTCTGCTAAAGCTTGGGTCACCTCTCTCCAAACACTCATAATACACACATATTATCAATCTTTGGTCCTCCATAAAGTCAACAAGCAAAATGCCTGGAGCATCCCCCAAAATGGTTGCTCTGACCTCTGTTTTGGACTAGTCCACACTTTGATCTGATGGGAAACCTTCAGGATGGTCCTGTAAAGCCATGCTTCCTCTCATTACAATTCTTCCATGAAAGGCTTCAGGATATTGACCCCATGTGTTTAAATTTTCTATCGAAAGCTCTGTTCTTGTCTGCAGCTGATCTGCTGCAATAGTTTTGGCACCCATCGGAAGAAACTTTCATTTCTGAGTCAGAATTGTGGAAGCGGAACCAACTGAGATGTCTAGAGTATTGGCTATGGCTTCTGCTGCTACTTTTTGGTCTTCTTCATCAATTAGGCACGAACAAGATTGTTCACTCAAAAACTAATCATGAACAGTCTGCTGCTGCGGGCTTCATCTCCAGCATTGTCTCATCCCTTCTTAAGAAGAGTTATCTGCCTGTAAACACTACAGCTGTCTTTGGGTTACTGTCCTCACAGGTTTCTCATAAAGCATCACTAATTTCACCATTCTTCCACTCAGGCTTCACCATAAATTGAGGTCTGTTCAGGCTTCAATGTTAGAGAAATTCAGGTTGCTCTGACAGGGGCTCTTTCCACACTAATGTGTTTTCCCTTCTTAGTGTTTTCAAACTAGATCCTGTCCAGGCATATTACAATAATTTTAAAAATTCATGCACATCTTTTTCATAATTTTATTTCCCATGAGCTATTTGAAGACCACTCGGATATTAACTGACTATATAATAGGTAACTAGTTCCTCCCAAACAATGACTCTGTAAGACGGACGTAACAACACCAAAACATAGACGCTGTGAATGCAGGTGAAGCCTGAGCTCCCGCTGCCCCTTTCTTTTCCTCTTGCCTTTTTTTTTTTGAAATCTATTCTCTTGTCTGGGGTCAACTGCTTCTTTCTGCCTTCTCTTATAAATTAGTTGACCCTGGGTTCAACCTCAAGCAGCTTTCAAAAGCTACCAGTAATTAGAGACCGGTGGAAAGTAGATAGAGGCGTTCTTTCTGTACTAAGTGAAATTTGGTAGGCAAAGAATAGAGGGACAGTATTACAGAAAATCCTAAACTTCATAAACGTACATGCCTGAAGCAATAGTAATTTTTTTTAAGTTTTGGGACTTGAAGGATGTGGTATCAGAAAAATACAACAATTGGGAAATTACAATGGAAAGAATGGAAAACTTGGGAATTTATCTTATGGCTGCACCAAATGAAGAGTGGTCTCACAGCCACAATGCTCCTGAAGGTGAGTGGGGCCAGCCTGTTGCTATGGGTGGGTCATGTATACTGTGGTCTGGTATGACTACGCCTCTGGCAAATGGAGACCTGCCTACTGCTATACACACGTGTGAGCACCCAGTGATGGAAGCTGGGGTTCTTCCTCTGGAGTAGGAAAGATCAGGAGTGGTTTCCAGAGCAATCCGCTAGCCCATGCCAGTGTCCTGAGGACAGGTGTCAAGTGTGGTCAGTCCGTGCCCACACACCTACTCAGACAAGTACTTCTTCAGGGGCATGTGCACAAAAACCAGGAGAAACTACACAAGTGGGTGGGCAGGACAGAGTACAAGTTTAGAGAAGAGGGCAAAATCGGGGGAAACCATCTAAGCCAGTATTTGGTAGAGAGCAGACGAAAAGGGCGAGATGAATGCAAATGTGAGAGTAGGTTCAGGTATCAGTGTGTGGAGACGAAGGAAGGACCACAGATACGAAAACGACGTCTAGATGGGAAAACTGGATCATAAAATACCACAGGTATTGCGTACATTATGTTGATTATGACTCTAAATCTCAATCAGACCAGAAGCACATTTCTGAGACAAAAGCAGGCTAGAGGCTCAGAGGTCCCAGGTGCTGTCACTGCCTGTGGACATAACTATGACAACTAGCCCAAGTCACAGTGCCTACCAAGTGCTTTAGCTTCCTCACGGCTTAGTAAGAAGGTACTTAACACAAAGGATGGATTCACTCCTTTCTGCTTAAAAACCTACTAAATTAGAATTCCTCTGTCATCTCTCAGACACTTTAGATAAATACATGCCAACATACACGCAACATATACTGTTTCTTTTTTCTCTGTTCACATTTGTTGTTGTTGTTGTTATGTGCCGTGGAGTCGGTTCCGACCCATAGCGACCCTGTACAGGGTTTCCGAGGCTGTAAATCTTTATTGTCGTTATGTGCCGTGGAGTCGGTTCCGACCCATAGCGACCCTGTACAGGGTTTCCGAGGCTGGAAATCCTACGGGAGCAGAAAGCCTCATCTTTCTCCTGCGAAACAGGTGGTAGTTTCGAACTGCTGACCTTGCTGCTCGCAGCCCGATTCGTAACCACTACGCTACCAGAGCTCCTTATTTATCTGCAGAAAAAGCACTATTTGCAATCTGTATGCAGGTTGCAAAGGTCACCTCAATCTTTTAGAATTGGGCCTCTGCCCACTTCACTCCAGCTATCTGAAGGGTTCAACTCCCCTCATGGGTAGGCTTGCTTACCCCTTCCTACAAAAGGTGGGGAGCAGTAATGTGACGGGGTAGCCGGGAGAGCAGGCCCCTGCTCACAGACTCCTTCCTCAGATCACGGAGGAATCCTGCATGTCACACATGTGGTTCAGAGTGAGGCTTTCAGTGAGGGTTCAATCAAGAGGCCTATAAACACCATGTCCATGTTTTATAAAACTGCTTTGATTTGAAATATTGTAAATATAGTTGATTGCACCATTTAACTGCTTTTCAGAAAGAAATACATTATAAATTCATCACAGAGCTAATGAAACACAATTCCTTTTTATTAGTGAGGTTTATACAACTCAGTGGACTCCTGGTGTGGCGCTATAGGATCAGCACTGGACTGCCACAAGGTAGGCAGTTCAAATCCACCAGTTGCTCCTTGGAAACCCTATGCAGAGCCACTATGAGTTGAAACTGACTCGATGACACTTAAAAACAATACAATTCAATGCCGTTCCCTTTAGCTGTAGCGGACAGGGAACGGATGTTTCCAGTCTGACCTACGGAGAGTGCTCAGACTAGGTCTCTCACTCCATTCCATTTCCTTTACCACTTAGTCAGTCCTTCAAAGCATTCTCAGAAACAGGAAGCCTATAAATGACTAAGCAAATGTCCCAGAGATATCAACTTATCTAACTAGCTGTTACACTCTGACTAGACTTTATTAAATCAATGTAGCCCCCTGGTGGGGTGATGACTAAGTGCCTGGGACTAAGGAGGGGTTGGTGGTTTAGAAGCCACTGCGTGGCTCTGCAGGACACTGACCTGGAGATAGGCCCCTGTAACAGGAAGCCTGGAGTCTTGGTGTGGCGCTGTAGGACCACAAGGTCAGCGGTTCAAACTCAACAGCCGCTCCTTGGAAACCTTACACAGGGTGGCTCTGAGTCAGAATCGACTCAACGGCACTTAACAACAATAATGATGAAGGTTAGACAGCACCCTGGAGCAGCTCTACTCTGTTACACGGAGTCACTTAGAGAAATTCATCTTGACCGCACACAAGTGCCACCATATGCCTCCGCCTATTTTAACAAAAGTACGTAAGCCATTTTACCTTCAAAAACTGGACTGCAAGTTCACAGGACACCTCATATTTAAAATAAAGCAGAATTTACTCAAACACAAAGCAGATTCCCCAAAGTCTCAGGTCCCTGCGTTTTTTTTTGCCATGTGGTTTCCACACCAGGAATGCGCAGCCAGCCTTAGTGTTGGAAAGTACTAACAAGGGAAGACATGGGACTGAGGAAAACAAACTTTTGTCCCCACTACCAGGTGGAGAAACAACAAAGTCAAATCGGAGATCTGGACAGAGAACACGTTCTACACACTCCTGGTGCCATCAGGGAGCTGCTGAATACAATGATCTATGTTAGGACAGGGCTGCTTCCGCAATTACCTGGTGAGAGATGGAAGGTTGCTGGATGGGCCCCTGCATTCTAGGGCTTGGTAAACCCACAGGTGCTGGCCTCCGTTGCACCTGTTGCGTCTGAGCCATTACCTGTTGCTGCATGTGCTGAAGACGTAACTGAGCTAGGCTGATCTGGGTTGGGAACTTGGATAACTGGTTTGAAGAGAAACCACCTGGTGACTGTGGGTTCTGCTCCGTGGCAGGATTCTGCTTGGGCATTTGTGGCTGGCTTTCCTTATCCTCAACGACTAAAGAACCTGGATAGAGAGAAGAGTGCAAGTTGTAGGGTTTCCGACAGTGACATATCACACTTCTGTAAGGGCATTTCGGCTGAACTTTGG